ACTCAGGTGAGTTACAGAATCTAGTTGTACAGTCAATTATATTCTTTATGTAACTTTAAAAGCTTTATTAACCAGTTTACCCCTTTTCATATCTATATGGGCCAACATTGCATGATTAATGGTCCTTTAGATCTCCTCAGGCTTATTAGCATTTACATGTGCACATGTCTCTGTCTGCGAGGAAAGAAACAGTGCTAACCCTTCGTAAAAAGATCAGTGTAAGTGAAAACTTCCTATCCTCACCTCAGAGCCTACTTGACATGTTTTAAAATGGAAAAATTATGGTACCGATTTATAACTTTTTAAGATTAAGTTATGATTTTTTGGGGTAAAAATTATCGGTATAAAAGTTACGATCGATCTAAAATAATAGAATTGATCTTGCAAATTATAATTTTTAAAAGTAAAATTATAACTTTTAAGGATCAAGTTAAAATTTTTAAATGTAAAGTTACAACTGATCAGGAATGTTCATGATCGATCATGAATGACCTCAAGTAGTTATAAATTCACATTTAAAAGGTATAACTTGACTTAAAAAAGGAATAACTTTCAATATGACTTCGAATTCTTTTTCGTGTACCGTAGAATTATCCGTCTTAAAAACATAATAAATGAAACTAATAAGAAATTTTGAACATATTTAAATTGTTCATTTGCCTATTTATCATCCCTGAGGTGACTTGGTTAGCTTTAAGAATGTGTTAAATCACAGTACTGCAGCAAACTCTTAGGGTTACTATAAATGGTAGTGGGCATATTTCATGGTTTGCATTTAGATTAGCATGACATTTTTGGTCGGTTCTAAAAAGGGGTTTGTTTCCCTTGTTGGTGTCATCAAGGAAGTTTATGGTCCTTAAGTGGATTACTTTTGATTATACCTATAGAAATGAACCATTATTTTTTGGGTTCATGTATGATATCAAAAAATTATTTTATTTTTAGTACAATATTTTTTTACATGAACCCAAAAAATTATTTTATTTTTAGTACAATATTTTTTTCTTTTCTTTCAATAAAAATTTGAGACATGTAAAAATTATTTATTTTATTATTTTTTCTTAATTTTATTTTTACGATCAACGAACATAAATAAATTAAAAGAAGATCTAAGACCCAAAATAAGTTGGATGTGTGGTATGACAAATAGCAACGATTTCATGCAATTCGCGAAATTTAGTAGTCTCTTCCATTCTTCTATATTTGTCATCCCATTATTTGTTGAGAGACTGGAAGCCAATTAATCCAATACCTAATATACATGTTTGAAACTCATGCACCCCTAAAACCTTAAGTCTATAGATGTCAAATTCATCCACAGTATGTAATATCCAACAATCTCTGCCTCTTATTAGGAGCTGTTAATTAAATTGAACTATTTGAACTTGGTTTGAGTTCGGCTCGAATTTAGCTCGTTCAGATTTGGTTTGTTTTTTAAATGAGCCTGAACTTGAACAAGTTTTTAAGCTCATTTAGAAAAAACCCTACAAGCTCGGTTCGAACTCGACAAGCTCGGATCGTTTATGTGCAAATACTCGGATTCGACTTATTTTTGGTTCGTTCAGGCTCGGCTCATTTCCTAAACGATCCGAACTTGAACAATTTTTAAAACTCGATTAAGAAACAAGCTTTCCAAACTCGGCTCGAACTCGATTCAGACTCATTCAACTAACAGCCCTACCCCTCATGTGTGAACCATATTGAGCTTAGCTCCCCGTTGACTTTAATCCACTGCTCTCTATAAGCTTCACGTCTACCACTCATTACAAGAGTCCGTTCTTCAAAAAATCAAGTTTTTATCGCTCTTTATGAGTTACTACAGTACCATTCTATCAAGAGCCCTTGCGCCCAAACCAACGCCTTGCTCTTTTCTCGGTTGCATTTCTATGATTTCAATACCAATAGTCCATCGCTTTTCTTAAGAGACACCATTAATACCGGCATACTACACTGCTTCTTTAAGAGTTTATCTACAATCATCAGTCATCGACTATGATACCATTTGTTGGAAGACTAGGAACCTATTAATCCAAAACCCTATATACATGTCTAGAACTCAAAACCCACCTAAAAGCTTAAGCCTATGGGTGGTGAGTCCATATATAGTATATTAGGACACGTTTACTTCTTTTTCTATTTGATATGGGATCGTCACACATTTAATACCCAACAATCTCCCCTTTATGTGTGAACCACATCGGGTTTAGCTCCTCCCTTGAGTTTGATTCATAACTCTCCACAAGCTTTACGTCTAAACACTAGTTACCTAAGTCAACTCTTTCAAAAACCAAGCGTTACCACTCTTTATACGTCACCTCATTACCACCCTGCCAAGAGCCCTTGTGCCTAGGCCTATGCCTTACTTTTTTTTTTTTTGAGTTGCATTTCCATGCTTTAATACCAAGAGTTTATCAATTTTCTTAAGATCACCATCAACAACATCACGCTACACTACAGATGGACTCAATACTTATAGGATTAAGTTTTAGGTTGGTAAGAGTTCCAGACATGTTATATTGAGACATAATTTGGGGACCTAACAATTAAAACCATTGATTTATCAATCACTAATGCTATTGAAACATAATTAAAGGACATAATGAATTGTCACCAATGAAATGATAGTAAAATGCATTTAATGATATGTTTTATTGTAGCATTAATGAATTCATTATCATATCATTAGTGACAACTCATTATGTCCTCAAATTATGTCTATAAATTATGTCCCAATAGCATTGTTTTTCATCAATAGGTCCTAGAATTGAATGCATTCCACTAATTCCTCCCCTCCCCCCTCAAAAAAAAAAAAGAAAGAAAGAAAGACAAGAATAGGCTACTAGAACATATTTACCCTCAAAAGCCCCTCTTGATCCTTTTAAAGGAACATTTCTAAGACTTGCTTCAAAAAGAGAACTCCTTCGGTTCTTCCATTATGAATACTTCAAGATACATACCAAAGGCAACAGAGCCTACTAAAGGATGTAGCTAGTTATCTGATCCGTTAGTTCTATAGAAAAATGTTTCCACGAGTTCAGAAATTGGTTTAGTCCAACACATTTAGTCCTGAAACATCTGCGTGATGACATATAAAAGAACCCTACGGTTTCTCACGTGTTCTTGTACGCATAATCTATCAAATGATAGTGATCGTTTCATAGTTCCCTATAGAGTATGTTGGTCAAATCCTCCAGATCAAATACTTGAAGTGTTGAACATCCAACTAAGTTAAATTTTCTCATCTTTAGCCAACCACAAATAGTAGTAACATAACTCTGAAAGTAGTATGGCAGAGAAGGATAGGATCATAACACATGCAGTTTGAAAAGTGGTCTAAGTGGTTACGCCATTGCCTCTTTACTCTCTACTTTGAAGTTTTCAACTCATTGATTGAATAGTATTGCTAGTCTAAATTCTAAAACACAAAACTGTTTCTGCTGCAAGACTCCTGCATCAGTACTTGCTTTTTCTGTGTTACAGTAAGATGAAAGAGTAATGTTGCATATACTAAAACTCCTATTATATTTTGTTTTATCAAATGAACACCATTGGTTGGATAAGTGAATCATAGTGGAAAAAGTTAATGGAGCCCACTGATTTAAGAATCCATGCCAATTTGCTAAAGAAAAGCTAGGTATGAGACTACTTGTTCCTCTTTTAGAGGTGTTCGAGAAATGTTTGTAATTGAGTAAAATAGCTATACCAATAAATGGATCAGATTGACTTCTAAATTTAAAGATTTGTAGAAGTTATACGCTTTGTAAACACATTGTGGAAAATTGCTAGGTATTTGATAAGAGTAGCATTGTTCAAGATGAAAATGTCATCTTCTTGAGTCAAGAAGAATCCACCAATTTCTAATTAAAATTAAAAAAACATAAATAAAAATTGTGCTAACTTACCTTCCCAGATCTCTCTCTCTCTCTCAATAATATTAGCAGTCCCTCGGGTATAACAAGTAAACACTATTAAAAAAAAAAAGACTATTTGAGGCGGCAAAACAATGCTGTCACAAATACTCCGTCTCAAAAATCACTTTTTCTTGTAGTGAAATGTACAAGGACGAGGAATTGAATATATTGTCTAATTACCATCTTCATATTTCCTTTAATTAGTCTCAGGACGAGACATTCTTTTCTTCCCTGAAGATTGGTTTTACCATTTTAACGCCCTGAAAGCCATTGTACTGCCTTTACATATGTAATAAAACAAAGTGTATAGAACTGGCACATACAAGTGATGGTTGCCTTATCCTAGGCCATAACCAACAAAGTAGTCACTCATGTCAGTTTTTATAGGAAGGGACACCTTTCTAGTTATATGTCTACAACTTTTGCATTTGTGAAGCATAACAACCATCGTGGTTTTGATCAGGATATTAAAATAATAACAAGGGTCCAAACCTGCAATCTCTTTGGGGCTTTGAGCAGATTTGGTGGGATCGTTGACATTGATCCTTGCTTAATATTGGTTGGTTTAACAAGTGGCTTTAAATCTGCCACCTTTGTTTTATGAGCCTTATCACTCATGATAAGAGGTTCCACCTCAAATCTTGACTTGTTTACCTAGATGCTACACATCATTTAAAGTTTGATTTAACACACATACCTCTAGATTAAAAGTCTATGCTCTCTCTCTCTCTCTCTCTCTCATATGAAGAATGTTCATTAAAGTTTAGCAAGCTGTTCTGCATCTACCTGCAACTACCATGGAAACATCAGTTTCACTTCTGCGTTATATGCAGAACATTAAAACTTTAACTAATCTGTCTTTGCTAGCCTAGCTATTGTACTGAATTCAAACGCATCTTCCTTTCTCTCTCACTCTCTCTCTGTCTCTCTCAATCCCAAATGTTGACAGACCTACTTGTACATTCTATTCCCACATGTGTGTCTCCAGTCCAGAGATTTAGACGCAAACTCGATGGATAAGACTCGGAAAACCTATAACAAATAAATATATTCCCAACATAAGAAAAAAGTTTTGAAGGAAGATAGAATGGCAGATTGCACATAATATTGCTAACTAATATTTTTATGGGACTACAGTCCATCATTTCATTTACATAATAATTGTACTAAAACTGGAATGTTCTTAATTACGGAACAGAGATGATTGTGCTCTTAACATAGGATCGGAGCCTTAAGAAAGAGAATATAAGTTCTGTTATTCCAAAAAAAAAAAAAAACTGTCAAATTATTACAGATGAAGATCCAAACTCACTTTATCTTGCACGCTTGGCTTCGATTCACACACATAACGGCTCTGAGAACTAGAGCTACCAATCGTGGATGGCCTCGAGTCATCGTTAACATATACCGGAAATGGATGCACAGTACGGTCCCGACTGAAAGTTGGAGACCTTTGGACAGTTGGGATTCTCCATAAGGCCAAAGGGCTCCCGTTAATTGGTGGTTGAGAGTATGAGCCATTGGTTCCATAGAACCTCGTGGTGTTAGTCGGGTAAGTACTGCTGTTATTGCTCCATGAGTGATACGCCATTGCTGGTGTTGGTGCCGCCGAAGCAAGGCGATGATAATTGGCGTACCCGTAAATGTGTGCATCGGAGAAGCCACCGTGAACCATGGCAGACTGAAGGTGAGCGCGTTTCGCGTGCTGGCGCTCCCTCTTGTGTGCGTTTTGATGTCCTCCTAAAGCTTGAGAAGTAGGGAAGTTCCTGCAACAGTAATGGCATTCGAATTTTCGACTACTCTCTCCATTGTCATTTTCCTTCACTTCTTCGCAAGCATTAGTCTCGACAGACTCGGACTCATCGGTGATTCCGTTGTCACCGCCGAATTCTTTTCCGAAGAGTCGAATGCCCTTTTCCTTGACTGGTGCAGGGCGAATGAAGGGCAACTGAGAGAAGGATTCGACGTTCATGAAGTCATGAGTCTCCTTCTCTGTCTTCTCCATAAAGGGTAGTGATAGTTTGATACCTTTGAGGCGTAGGTTAGCAGGAAGGTGGGGGGGGGGAGGGGAGGAAGAGGAGAGTGGAGGGAGATAATGTGAAAGGGGATTGTATGAAAGGGGGTAGTGAGGGGGTGTGGTTGGACATAAAAAGGGGTGGTCTGATACATGGACAAGAAGCTGACCCATCTTAGAATGAGCCCTGACTACTGACAAGGCCACGAGAGTGGTTTTGGCTTATACTCTTTGCTTTATCTATGTTGTATTTGCTTTATTTGGGATTAGTTTTTAGGTCACACAACCCCATATATATACGCAACACGTGCTTTTATTAGATGTAAAAACTTGTAATAAAAGTTTGATCGTGTTAAGTGATATTATTCGAAGAATAATATTATTAAGTCTTAATTTATTATAGTCTTTGAATTAATTGTGAGCCCATTAAATATCTAAAATTGATGACAATTTAATAGTTACAATGAAATCACATCATTAGATTAATAAATTAGATCAAATTTTTATATTTCAATAGTATTACTCTTAATCAAAAGTTGCAGTTGTAAAAATGTTATTGGACCATTTCAAATTACAAAATTATTAATTAGGTCAATTTTTTAAATTTTAATAGAACAACTTTTTTTTTTTTCCTTTAAATATCTACCAACTCTCATGTAATATGTGGACTAAAAGTGAAGTTTACCACAATCTTTAATAACTTCAATTATTATGTGGACCACCCTGTCTGAACTGGGAGAGAAGGAGAAGTACCCATGTATATTACTATTGAGTAATGCTATATGAATTTAAAAAGTAGATTTGATAATTTTAACTATTGATTTTACTGTGGGTTCCAGTATTTATTGGGACCTACTACCTATTTAATAGTTGACATTATCAAATCTAATTTTTAAGTTCATCTACTATTACTCATTACCTATATTAGAGGAATAATGCTATTGAAATTTTAAAAATTAACATAAATTGTTGACATATTTGGACCTAATTTGCTTCAAAAAGTGTAGTCTCATTCTAAAACGCAAGAGAACTTCGTTGAATTATAACCCTTAGGGAAGGATCAATAGTTAGGTCTAACTTTTGGTAATTCAGATGTTGTGGCCAACCGCTGAACTCGAATAAGTAGTCGGCGTAACTTTAGGTACCTTGTAACAAAAAAAAAAAACAAAATTAAAAGAGCAACCCCAAAACTGGCTATGTAACATATATATAATTATAATGATGATCAGATGATGATATGTGGAATTATCTGATTGATGATAAGCAAGTAGTATAAAGGATTTACACCATTCTCTTTATCTCAGCACATCCGGCTTTTCCTTCAAACCCTAGATATTGCATGGATGTGTTTCCATTAATCGAGAATTAGGTATATATCATCAACTGATCCGTTGCTCTTTCTCTGTTTTCAGGACCAGGTACGTACTAGTAGTTGGTATTGCTTCTTTATAGCTGTCGGCTGTTTTTATATCCGTTGCAGGCATCCTGCATGCAAAGTGGTCCTAATTCAATAAGATTACACAGATGGGGGAGATAAATATTAATCATCCTCTCATACCTTCACTTCTCTCCTCTAGGTAAAAAAGTACACCCATTCTCTCTCTCTCTCTCTCTCTCTCTCTCTCACTATATACATACAAGTGTATGTACACGCGAATGCGTATTCATAACATTTATATGCTCTTCTTGTGTTGGTTTGATGTTATGACTTGACTGTGGTACAGAAATTCAAAATTTTGGTATTATACCGAAATTTATCACATTTGTGGTAATTTTTATCATATTTGTAAGTAGTTTTATTATTGTTGTGGTACCAAAAAAAAATAGTAAAAATAGTCGCCTCAATAGTGGTAAAAAAACCCAAAAATGTGGTAAAACACTCACAAATGTGGTAAATCATCAACAAAAGTGATAATTTTTTTTGTACTTAAGAAAATTAGTAAAAATAATTACCACAAATGTAGTAAAAACATCCATAATAATGGTAAAAACACTTACAAAAGTGATAAATTAACCACAAAATATAAAATATTTTGGTTATAAAAAGACTCATAAAAGTTATAAAAATACCTTTTGAAGTAATAAATAGTTTTTTTTACTGTTCACGCCTCTTTCCTTGTGCTTTTCGTTCCTCTATTATACTTCGATATTTCATTTTTTTTTTTTGCTCTTTCCTTTCTACCTAATGATACCAGAAGACAAAGTCCAGCTCGGACTATGGATAGGTCAAGACAGCATTCTAAGTCACCATATGCCGAGCTGACTTCTCTCCTCTATGTAACAAAGTACACCACTTCTCTCTGTCTCTACACACACACACACACACACACACACGTTGGTGTATACGTATTTGTAAAATTTATATACCTTTATTTTGTTTGTTTGATGTTAATTACTTGCACACGCCGCTTCTCTGTTGCTTTTTATTCCTCCAACAATATTATTTGAACATAATTTATTGACCTAATAAATCATAATCATTGAGTTGATCGTGTGTTCCAATAAATACTAATGCTCATTGTCAATTCAATAGTTAGATGAGCAAATTAGGGCAATAAATTATGTCAAAGCTACTAGCATTGCTATTATTCCTCTACTATACTATTATATTTTGTTTTTTTCATGTTCTTTTATACGTAATATATTTCCCAAAAAGAAAGAAAATTCAGTTGAAGTTGATATGAAGATAACTTATTCTTGCTTGTCTCTCTAGTGCTGTTTATGTATATTGTTTCATTTGTCAACTTGATGTGGCCAAGCTTCGTCATAATTCAAGCCTGCATGGATTAATGTCGAAGTTAAACTGTGACTATCAGATGCAAATAATGGTAAGAGTAGCACATAAGACTAGTACTCAAATTCAGCAGACTATATTTGCCTCATTATGAATAATGAAAAATAATGGCAACCAATTGTTGCAACAATAAATTTTTTTGTCCAAATATTACGAATAAAGTTTTCTATATATGTCAAGTGTGTTACAACAACCATAAGTCATTTGGATTTGTGAATACCACATAAATTCAAGATGTATGCAATCACACTCAACCCTAGTGCTTCGGAACAACTACGTCAACCCTTATGACCCGTTTGGTATGAGTGAAAATAGGATGAATGAAAAATAGTGGATGAAAAATGTAATTTTTCTTTGTTTGGTTGGAAAGGAAAAATGGAGGAAAAGGAAAGATAAAGGCAAAATCAATCCCTGCTGCCCACCATTTTTGATCCCAATGGCAACAATACCTGACAAGTTGGTCAAGATGGGTCTTATAACTTTTATGTAATCTTTAATTATTATTTACTCCTTTGGAAATCATGTTAAGTCAATAGATTGTTTATATTCTATTAATCGTATTTTTGATATCTTATTAGCAATAATATTTTATTATTATTTTCATACCAAATAAAATAATAACAAATTTATTCCTTTCACTTTTTTATTCTTTTTACCAAAACACAAAAGATGAAAAACATATCTATCATATTTTTCTATCCATCTAATTTTTCATCCTCTTACCAAACGGACCATTAAGAGACTCGAACTTGAATTGATGTTTTATAACCCCTTGAAGGCTTCTCATCACTGTCCTAACGTGTTACTTTTAAAATTTTTGCGGCCATCAATTTGTCATTGAAATAATCTGGATTAGGAAGATGTATAATAAGTACTTTTGTAAATCAAAAGCCCCCATAAATATCTACATTTATAGCAATGCCCCGAAGCTGATTGGCAGAAATATCCGTATTATATATCTAACTATTTCTACACCCCCCCCAAGACTTGAGACAATATTGGATATCTGCCACTAAAAACCATTACAAGCGAATAAGATTAACCACTTATATAATTTGTTATTGCTATCATTTTAAGAATGGGCAGAGTTTCTAATACATACTTGCAACCTCAACCGTCTATTTTTAGGGCGTACCTAGTGCATGAGACTTTCGTCATTGTGAAATCTGAAAAAGATTAGATATACGCAGCCTTATTCTTGGAAGTAGAGAGATGATTTTTACGACCAGTAATGTTAGACTGACCAAATTTTAAAACTAAATTTGGAACCCAAATGACATGACAGTTGACTTGAACCTCTTTAATTGGTGTGATGTTATTTGAGCCACAATAAAAATTTCAAATAATCAACTGCCATGTTATTTGAACTTTAAATTTAATCATAAAATTTAATCAATGTAACATTACTCTTTCCACGACTCACATCCGTGACTTCCAAATCATAATAAAATAACTTTAGCGTTGCACCAAAATTCGACTTCACATTTTATGAAAACTATATACATTTGCTTCTCTCACATTCACGAATGAGGGGGACATATATCTGTCATCATTTCTTTCCATCTTTCACGCCTTTCAAGAACTACTCAAGCCAACTTCTTTTTTTTACCGTCGGTTTAGCTTGAAAGTCTTTTTCTTTACGGTTGAAGCAGAGACAGAGAGATACTGAGAGAGAGAGAGAGAGAGTTTTCGGGGTATTTTTTTGCTTGCCATAAGGGGTTATGGGAGTTCTGAGCATCTGAGGGTTTGCATGAGTATTATCTGAAATGGTAATTTAATGAAATAATGCACATTTTGAGTCTCTCTTCTCTGCGGAACATTGTTCTTTATTCGTGCATGCTTGGCCTGTTGTGCAATTATTCCTAGCCCCAGCTGCTTACATCTTCACAATCCCACCTTTCTTTGCCATTCCAAGAGAAGTCACTTTCATCTTTCTCTCTCTCTGGGTTTGTAATAGAGAGTTACCCTTTATAAGTTTTTTTTTTTGTTTTAATGGGAGTAGGCTTTGATGGATTGCACCATAAACATAGAGTGGACCCCACCCCAACCCAACATGCCCTTAAGGTCCACATCTGCTAACCCTTATAACAACAACCCTTCATTCATGGAAACCCTCTTTGCCATTAAAGTCACAGAAACAGAGGTTCAGTCACACAGGTTGTGAGGGGGACCATGTATGGTGTTCAATTCAACTGCACAACTTGTGGCCTCATAAAGTAGAAAATAAATCTGATGTGAACCTTTGGGCTATGGTTGTTTTTTCCCTTTGCATCTTGAAGTGGCAACATCCTATGCTATGTCTCATGGCTAAACAGAACACTTTTTACTTGGGTTGCATTGTTTATCCACATGAGAATCCAAAGGCCTCCAGGTAACTTTAAATCATATCATTTTGAATTTATGTCAAGGAATCGAAGAGACTAGATGATCAAAATTATGGAAAAT